GTGAATCCATTCCTATCGAAGTGAAAGACAATTGTAGCGTTCTTTCCTGATTTTTCTATGATGCAGAGGTTACAAACGAGGAACTTGATTGGTGCGAGTAGATGCAGTGGTGGATTGTATCGAATGAGGATAACCAAGGAAAGGAATAATACGGTGACTGTCGCAGGCACTTCTCACAAAAGATCGGGTTATAACTCAAAGGAGAAGCTTTCTAGAATTGAGTTAGTTAAAAACAATTCCATTAGTTTTAGTAATGAAGTTTTTGACTCTTGTGCTAAAGCAAAACTTACCCAAAAGCCTTTCATATTAACTCTATTAAAACCAAAGAAATTTTTGATTTGATCTGTTATGATATATGGGGTGGGTATTGTATACCATATTATACGAAGGCTAATAACTTCCTTACTATAGTTGATGATTTTAGTAGAGCTATGTGAGTCTTTTTTTTTATCAAACACAAAAGTGATGCTAGCAAGTGTCTTGTTGATTGTCACAAAGTGATAAAAGTCTAATTTGAGAAACATATAAAAAGAATTAGATGCGACAATGGCGGGAATTCACCTCCAATCTTATGATTCAGTTTTATAACGAAGAAAAGATTTTATAAAAAACAATTTGTCCACATACACCTCAGCAAAATGGTGTCATAGAAAGAAAACACAAACATTTGCTTGAGACAAATCGAGTAATCCGTTTTAAGGCAAACTTTCCAAAAAAAGATTTTGGGGAGAATGCATTCTATCTGAAACATCACAAAAATATAGGCCAACAATTTCTTTTTAAAATTATTAATGAAACCATAAATCATCCATCATCATAAAAAAGAAAATCAAGAATCATGTATCTCAAACATCGTGTCAAAAACTGTATCAAATCATATGAAAAAATATCAGAGTCTAAACAATCCCATGCTGAAGTTATGGTGTGTGCCATGCGATCATCCCGAGCCCTTCCCCTTGCTAGTGGAAGTACCTGAAACCAAAACTATAAACTGTTAGCACGAAGCTTAGCGAGTCTCCCTAAACTACCACATACCATACAAATATCACGCAACTAGGAGATACGGGCCCTGCCCACTCTCATGGAGATTCGGGCCCCGCCCACACTCTGCTGTTTAGGAGATTTGAGCCTTGCCTACACCCCGCTGTCTCGGAGATTCGGGCCCCGCCCACACTCCGCTGTCTAGGAGATTCGGGCCCTGCCCACACTCCGCTATCAAACATGCATACAAGTATCACACAGACAACAAGTACATCTATCAATCAATTACATATCTATACACAAATAATACTATAAGCATCGGTCCCCGCCCTCTATAAACTACTATAAGCTTCGGGCCCTGCCCACACTTAGCTACTACATATAAGCATCAGGTCCCGCCCACTTTGAGCTACTACAAATCACTTATACGGGTCGACCTTGGTGCCGTAGACCCGTTCCTACTGAAGGAAACTCACCTCGCAAGACTGACTGCTGAAAATCTGAGTGAGAAATCCCTGTCTGCTGCTCCGGTGACTCTCCAACTATAAATTTCATAATGACACTTAGTCAGAAACTGATAACTATTCTTAGGGAAAAATGACCATTCTACCCCTGGTCAAAGTCAACATCCTGGTCAAGATCAACTTTCCAAGTTGACTAGACTCGCCGAGTCAGCCTTGTGACTCGCCGAGTCCTAGAACTAAGAACCCTGGAATCGCGACTTGACTCGCCGAGTCACCCCATGACTCGTTGAGTTCCCAAGCTACTTGTTATCGCGATTCGTCGAACTGAATCGTCGAGTCGTCCTCAGACTCGCCGAGTCCTGGCATAATCAGAAAAGGGAAAAGATCCTCCTGCTCGCCGAGTTCCTGAATCAACTCTCCGAGTCCTATGAACATCAGCGATGTTTCTTCATCGGACTCGCCGAGTTCCCTTATGAACTCGTCGAGTCCCTTGCAGATCTAACCTAGATAACTGGTTTCACACTTCTACAGTTCCAAAATACAGATCTGGATTGTTTCCATGGTCCATTTCTATAAAGTTGGAGACTTGATGGCTTTGCACACCCCAAATGGACCCAAGCTCAAGTTATAGCAACCTACTTCCATAACCATGACCATGGCTTGGATGAAAACGGGTTCAAGACTCCTTTTATGACTCTAGAGGCCAAAAATCACAGGAAAGAGGGATTGCTTAGCATACAACCCATGAAAAGCAAGTTATCCCACTCAAAAGGGGTCAAAAGACTCACAAATCAACATTAAAGGAGATCTAAGCTATGGGTTATCAAGCTAAGAGCTTTTTACCTCAGAAAGCTGCCAAAGATGAATGTACTCCTGGATCTTGTTCCTCTTCCACAAGCTTGCTAGCTCCAAGCTCTTCCAACTATCTTCAATAGCACAAAAACACACTCAAAATTTCAAATGTGAAGCTCTCAATCGGATTAGGGTTTCTGGAGGGTAGGGAGGCTGGTAAGGGAGGCCCAAAGGGGGTTTAAGTGGCTTAAATAGGGTGCAAAACCCTGAAAAACAGGCTTTCCTCCTGGCAGACCTACTCGTCAAGTCCATACTTGGACTCGCCGAGTAGACTCTTTAAACCTCGCGTCCTTTCTGGCATCTACTCGACGAGTTAGGGCTACCAACTCGTCGAGTAGCTCAAGAATAAATACTTGATTAATAAATTAAATGTGTACCAGGAACGAGGCGTTATAATCACCTACATTATCAATCACCTTCCTTCTAAAGTCATTAAAAATAAGACCCCTTACGAAATCATTTGGAACCAAAAACCCCAATACGACCATATGAAAGTTTTCGGCTGTCTCGTGTATTACAAAAATATCAATACAAAGGTAGACAAATTCAAGAAGAAAGGGAAGCCTGGTGTGTTCTTAGGTTATCCACAAGGAACCAAAGGATACAAGATTTTCCTGAATATCATAAAGCTTACCTAACGGTCACTACCTCAAATAATAAGCTAAAAACTTTTAAACAAGCTTCTCAGGATGAACGTTGGCGACAAGCTATGCAACAATAAATTCGAGCTCTTGCGAATAACGGAACATGGACTCTTACTGATCTTCCGAAGGGAAAACGGGCTATTGACTCAAAATGGTTTTACAAAATCAAATATAAACCTCTTTCAAAAAAAAAATCAAATATAAACCAACTGGCGAGGTCGAACGGTTTAAATCCCGGCTAGTCGCAAAGGGTTTCACTAAGATGGAAGGCGTAGACTATCACGATACTTTTGCCCCAGTTGTAAAATTGGCCACCATGCGTACTCTATTAGGAGTTGCTGCCAAGAAGAACTGGTTCATACAATAGCTCGATGTCAACGCCTTTTTGCATGGTGACTTGGATGAAGAAGTGTATATGAAAGTTCCCCAAGGTTTTTCCAAAGAGAATGATACCCGTGTTTGTCGCCTACAAAAATATCTCTACGGTCTAAAGCAAGATTCTTGGAACTGGTACCACAAATTGAAAAAATTTCTTCTGAGCATAAGCTTTTGTCAGTCAAAGGCCGATCACTCATTGTTTTTGCAAAATCGAGACAGAATTTACATTGCCATCTTGGTTTATGTGGATGATGTCATTATAGTTGGTGACAATTTTGACCGGATTCAACAAACAAAAAGGCAACATGATGAAGCTTTTAGTATTAAATATCTTGGACAATTAAAATATTTCTTTGGTGTATGAAGTGGGAAAAACTTCAGATGGCTTAGTTTCGAGTCAGCAAAAGTACATCTTAGATCGACGAGAAAATGAAGCTCCGGTTGATGCTAGTCATATCACAAGCTTATTAGTCGGCTTTTCTATCTTCAAGCTAGACGTCCTAATGTTACCTATGCTGTAAACTTGTCGAGTCAGTACCCTAGTCAAAGTCATATGCAAGGCGTGACTAGAGTGCTAAGATACCTAAAGGGGACACCGGGTCAAGAAATTCTTTTACCACAGACCGGAGAACCAATTTTCACTGCTTTTTGTGACACTGATTGACTCGGTTGTCCATACACAAGACGTTCTCGAACATGTTACTTACTTTTGCTTGGTGGTGCTCCAATTTCTTGGAAAACTAAAAAGCAATCCGTCGTTTCTCGCTAAAAAGCAATCCGTCGTTTCTCGCTCTTCCGCTGAAGCTGAGTATCGTGCTATGGCCCTGATTGTTAGTGAAGTTTTGTGGGCTAGATGGCTCCTCAAGGACATACAAGTTTTCCTAGACACGCCCACCAATTTGTTTTGCGACAACTAGTCGGCCCGTCATATTGCGAACAATCCAGTTTTTCGCGAGAGGATGAAGCACGTGGAAATGGATTGTTTCTTTGTTCGATAGCGAGTTGCTTCTCAGGAAGTCACGCTAATGAAGATTGATAGTAAGATGCAAGTTGTAGATTTGCTCACCAAAGCTCTTGGTGCCAACCAGCTTTAGTTTCTACTTGGTAAGATGGGCATTATTAACTTGCATGCTCCATCTTGAGGGGAAATATTGGATAGTGATAACATAAATATCGATAACGTATTCTCGTTATTATCTTTTCCTATTGTTTAGGATGTTTGTTTTGCTTCCTTATTTAAACTCTTCTTCTATTGCTTTTTAATTAAGCAATCAATAAAATCGAATTACTTCCCTCATACCATTGGAATTCTAGAAAACATACCTTGATCACAAGCTTTGTATTTATGATATTTCTACTTGCATTTCGAAGCAAACTTAATTGTCAATTGTGCTTGAAGTCATTCACGTTATCTCTATGAAATAAGTGTTAAGGTGTTGTATGAGGTGAATTGTTTCAACCTTGTCTTTAAAAGTTTTCTTCCACAAGTCCTTGAGCTTTAAACCAAAAAAGTGTTTAACAAAGAAATATTATTAACCATTGAAATTTATTTTATTCCACTCCTATTCTACAAAATGTGTATCCTTGTAGTATTATTATAGCCAAGTCCACATGGTCCTATCACTTTTCATAAGTTTGAAAAAAATGTTTGGTAGGCAGTGTATGCTGAAACAAAGGGAGATGAGAAATAAAAAATCCATAACTTTCCATTCATGATCAATCAGTACATGATAACATAAAAGAAACCAAACCAATAACAATCATCGAGGTGACCTAACAGTGATCGTTTGGGATTTAAGCATTCAAAAAAAACAAGTTGCCCAAGTTCGAACCTCATCAGCTTCAACCTTGGATGAATTGCTGTTCGGAAAAAAAATCAGCCCACAAACTAACACTTTATTCTAGTGGCCGCTTCAGATCTTATTCAACAAAATCCATCTTTATCTACTTTCTGTTCACAAATTAAAATACCACTCTTCGATAAAGTCAAAACATCTCATCAATTGCAAGCAGCTCAACAGACATGGGCTGGAGTTGTACTATCCTACACGATCAATGATTGATGGTGGTGATCAACGCGCTTCGTTTTCTCTGAAATTGTAGAATTCTTGCGCACATGAGAAGCTGTTTCTATGCGTTTCTTGAGAAGTTGACTTTTTCGCAGCTTTTGTAGGAGTTGTAGATCTGTAGAATAGAAAGAAATTAAGTACTCGAAGAAAATTGCGAGAAGATCAGTAAAGAGATTTTTTTTAATATTTACTGGTAACCTTCGTGGAAAGAAAGGTCGATCAAATAGAGGCATCAACTGAGCTCGAGGGATCATCTCCTTTCTTAACATTCGAACCTCTTCTTCCTCGATCATCTGATTTCAGGTTTTCAATCAATGTAAATGTTCAAATGAGATCGTATATGTTTTCCTGTTCAATTTATGGTGGTTCTATCTTATATGTTGTTGTGTAACTGTGTATGCTAAACGACAAAATCAAGAAAGGGATTGATGTTAAATTTAACACGACTATACTTGCCTTCTGTATCTTCTCTATTTGCCTCTTTTGTTGCTCCATAAGATAGAGCTTGGTTGCAATCTGTATGCAAACAGTCTTAAACTTTAGTAAATCGATACAGAAGATACCCATTTGCTAACCAAAATGTGGTCATAAATGTCACCAAATGTCATTAATTTGAAACCGAAAAGGACCTTTTCAGTAGGTTTACTTGAGCAAAACTCACCGAGTAGTTAAAGAAAGCACGTTTGACTGCTCTTTCCTTCGTTTGGAGTTTGACTTCCATAGATTTGGTGTTTTCTTTCGCTAGTGTTTGGAACTTGACATACTCAGGCTTCATATTTTCTTTTATTGATGTCTTTGTTGTGATAACCTGAACTAAGATAAATTCTTTTACTTCTAGTCGCAATAAATATTAGCAACCAACAGATACGATCACATTGGAAGTGAAGCTCTTTGTTTTAATGGCTCTTAGTTCTTGTGATCAACATTTACATATAATAAATAAATCCAACTTTATTACAGCTACTCAATCAAAAAGTCATACCGAAGTTTTTGTTTTGATGGGAAGCGAAGAGGGGTCAGATTTCACAGGTCTTGTTGGTGAACGAACAGCATCACTGCTGTAAGAAGTATTCTTCACATACTTAAACCGACAACACGAAGGGAAACATGTTAGAATGTCTTAAACCTGGAAGAGAATTAATAGATGGTGAAGAAAACATAAAGAAAGCGAATTAATGCATGATGATATTGACCTTGTGAGAAGTTTTTATTCTAGGGGTTTCCATAATGAGTGTAAATAACTTAAAAGAAGTTAAAGTTGAAGTGAAGTGAAGTGAAGAGTGTGTATAGTGTGTGTTATATATGGGACTAGGGGTTGGAGATTTGTAGCCATCTGAGTTTCGGTGGATGCTGGAACATCACCAGCTTATTGGGAAAGTTGCATGCTTTCTTGCACCAAACTTTCTGATGAAACCCATCCTTCGTATCATTATCATTAGGACGAGGTGCATTATATAAAATGAAAAGAATCTTATCTATATGGATATTAATATTGCTATATTCGTCTTCCCATAGAGCATCAATTTGTCAGCTAATAGGAGGGGAAAAACATATTCGAGGAAGTTGCTTTTATTCACGGAAAAAAACAAATATACACACGTACACACATATATAAACTAATATCATTAAATATTATTAAAACAAACCATTAATTCTAAATTGAAGAAATAATGGCCATTGATTCCATTTCAATCATATATTTTTCACATTTGGATTATTTGCTACATCATCTTTGTCGACCCTTTTATTTTTGTCCATCAATTTTATAAAATGTATATTACGTTTTAAATTAGGAATTCTATTAATGATAATTAAATCTCACCAAAAATAAAATGGATTAAATTAAGAATTCTATTAATGACAATTAAATCTCACCTAAAAATAAAATGAAAAAATACCCCACCCCACCCCTCATTATCAGTACCCCTACGTTCTTTTTCTCTTTCTTTACATAATCTATCGAACCTAATTTTTGTATCGGAGAAGAAAAAATGGGGAAAAGAAGAAATAAAATACCTGTAGGCTTCGATCTGTGTGGATCAGTATTATGTTCGGTCATCATAGAAGAAGGAGGAATGGTATATATATAAATTTTCTTTGGATTCTATTTTAATTTGATCGTAGTTTAGATCGATTTTGGCTACGTTTTAGATTATTCTTCTTTTATTCTGTTTTAACTATGAAGTTTCAGTCTATAAAACCTTTCGATTTATGTTTAAATCGATAATGGTTACGTTTTTTGAATCTGCTTCGATTTTTGTTCTTATATATGATATGTATTGTTGATCTTGATGTTTTAAGTTATTGGTATCTGAAGAAATCAAGGTCATTGATTGCATTTCAATCATATATATTCCACATTTGGATTATTTGCTGACATCATTATTGTCAACCCTTTTATTTTTTTTACCAAATTTATAAAACGTATATTAAGTTTTAAATTAGGAATTCTATTAATGACAATTAAATCTCACCAAAAATAAAATAAATTAAATTAAGAATTTTATTAATGACAATTAAATCTCACCCAAAAATAAAATGAAAAAAATACCCCGCTCCACCCCTTATTACCAGTACCCTTACACTCTCTCATTGGAGAATAAAATGGGGGAAGTAGAAATAGAATACATGTGGGCTTCGATTTGTGTGGATCAGTCTTGTGTTTGATTATCATAGAAAAAGGAGGAATGATATAGATATAAATTTTCTTTGGATTCTACTTTAATTTGATCGTAGTTTAGATCGATTTTGGCTACGTTGTAGATTATGCTTCTTTTATTATGTTTCAACTATGAAGTTCCTATCTATAAAACGTTTCAATTTAAGTGTAAATCGATAATGGTTATGTTTTCTGAATCTGGTTCGATTTTTGTTCTTATGATCTGTATTGTTGATTTTGTTTTTTTAAGTTATAGGTATGTGGAGAGCAAAAGGATGGACACATTAGCACCAGTACCTCTCATCCATTGTTTTGATTTGGAAGATATGTCTACTAGGTAGTGAATTTGTATATGCCAATTTTATTTTTTATTTTTACATTTTTGTATATGCATTTAGTCAATGATTTTTTTGTGGCTTACCAAGTCGTGAATGAGAAGATATACTTAAGTCAATGTCTATAATGCTTTACCCATTCCATCCATTCATGGATTTGGAGATGAAGTTCAAACCCTTATACCAGTAAGTGATCCACATATCCTACAACTCAGCAAAGCCCAGTGGTGATATGTGTTTTGATTTATTGTAAAAAACATTTTTCTATAAAAACACAAATTGGGCTCTTAGAAAGAAGTTATTCATCAGTCCCTTTTAATATTATAAAAAAACATATTTTAGACTCAATAGCAAAGAAAAGACAAAGTTTTAGTATACCATGTAAATAGATTATATCGATAAACCTTATTGAAAAATGTTTGGGATTGATTACTTTTTGTTCATTAGCATTTTTTTTGCAAAAATCTTCTAATTATCTGTTACATATTATTCTGTTTCTTCAAGGAATCATAAATAGAACTCAGATTGCTATTTTTTTGTTTTTGTAATACATTTTAGTTGTGAACTTGATGCTATGCAAGTACTTGCATTGTCTGGGCATGCCGAGAAGTATAGTAAGAACCTTGCACAACCATATTATTTCGTGTAACTGGTTTGGATCTTTTGATTGAGTTTACTTTCTCAAGGATAAATGGCTACACCCTACACTCTTGAAAATAGGGTTGGGAACATTGTGAGTATCAATGTTTTCTGAACAATAAGAGAAGATAGTAGTATAAAAGTTGTAATATAAACCATTGGTAATTACATAATAATAACTAAACAAAGATATGTGAAGGATTATCTTTACAATTTAAATTGCAATATATAACATAAAAATCATATGAAAATTTTATTATATTCCGTTCCATGCCTCACAAACATGTTTCTAAAATGGAATTACTCATTCTATTATCTTTCTTTTACGATTACCTATCCACTCTATTTATTTGTTGTTCCATTTTTTGCAACCTCACATATCTCAAAAAAGTAATTTGCAAATCCATCATAAAAAAGAAAATGTTTTATAAACTTCTATAAGAGAAGAAGAATGATAAGACTAAATAAGTGTATATTGTTAATCTAATTATGATGTTCTTTCATCTCTCTTTGTATATTTCTAGCTTGTGTAGTATTGTCTATAAAATATTGTTGTTATATCTGAAAGTTCATTTTCCCCTTTTCATATTTTTGTGTATATATATTTTAATCTTTTAGGTTTTTAGAGCATTTGAGGGACCGTTTCTGCTTAGGAGTGGGGTGAAGTCAAGGTCCCTAAAACTGGAGGGTAGTTGTATTTAGAGCCACTTGAATATTGAAGATTTTTGTTGGCATTAATTTCAATAATCATATGTACCCTAGAAGAGATATGAGAACAATAGTTTATTTTTTTATAATGTTTCTTGTATTTATTTTTTAAATGTTGCACATGTGATGGCTATAAGGTGTGGTCACCCCTGTCTAGGATCAAGGTTAATTTGGTAACTTTTTAAATATTACACTTTATTAAAGAGTACAAATGAATATTTTTGACTTTTGGTTCGTTATGAAAGAGGCAATGGTATAATGATCATTTTAATATAAGTTGTTTATTACCTTCTATGTCTACAACATAATTACCAATTTTGATTATGCTTATTAAATATGTCATAATATTTTATTTAATCTAAATTTATGATTTTCAGGTGTCTGGAATTGTAAGAGTTAGAGACTGTTTTTAATTCGTTAATACCATCGATTATTTCAGTATATTTTGGGTTGTAAGTGCTTTAGATGTCGAAGCTTTTGATTATATTTGATAAATAGTAGTTAAATGGGGTTGTTTTTTTTAGATTATTGATTGTTATATTGAAACAATATTTTTTTTAATTAATAACATTATCTCTACCATTCAGTATGGGAACCATCATTCATGAACTGAATAATGCTTAATTTTTTCTTTCTGTATTCTGTGTGGTAGATTTTTTGGTTAAAGCCTTTGGCACCAAGGCGATGGTATATCTTTTACTCTAAAGAATCCTACAAAAAATGTAGTGACATCTTCAAAGGTATTTTACCTAACTTTTTTAAAGCCTTTGGCACCAACAAGTTCTTTCAAGAGGTTTGTTTTGACATTTCCTCTTCATTTCAATTGAATGACTAAGCTCAATGTACAATATCTATATGTTTATATATTTTATATAAAGTTGGAGGTTTGGAATGGTTTTGCCGGTGCAATTGGAAGCTGTTATACCCAAACGCATACAAGCGGTGAGTACCTCGCTTCATGTTTTTTTTTTTTTTTAAATAAAAGAATTGATATGCTCTGGATAAAAATATACCCCTTGTTTGAGTCCAAAATGAAAATCGTTTTTTTTGGTACATTAAAGCTTAGTTGTAGGACAATGTTCTAGAAACAAATTTCATTAATAACATTGAAGTTTGCAAAAATGGTCATTAATAACACCGCACTTTGTAAAAATTACTTTTTTCAGTTTCTTTTTAGATAATCTGGAAAAGTTTCAATTTTTTTGTATTGTAGAGCTCATCAATAGGACATTCTTCTAGGAAAAAAAATTCGTTAATGGAAAGTACATTGTCATTTTCTTTCACATATGTACCATTTATGTAATTTTATTCAAATATGGAACATTTATTTAATATTATAGGTTTCTTATCTTATTCATTTATTTTCATTTACAACAATGTACTTTAAATGTTCATTAGTACGCCATTGATATGATAATTTTTTGAAAAAAAATGTTTTTAGTATTGAACTTTGTAAAAAAAGTTCATAGATAGCATCGTACTTTTTAAATTAATTACCTTTTGGATTATTTTTAGATGATATGTAATGATTTTATTTTATTTTATTTTTTTGTTTTTGAAGCTCATTTATAGGACTGTTTTCTGGAAACAAATTTCATTAATAGCATTGAACTTTGCAAAAAAGTTCATTAAGCTCATCATACTTTCAAAACAATTACTTTGCGGATTCATTTTAGATGACATTGAAAAATTTCATTTTTTTTACATTAGAGGAATTCATTTTAAGACGATTTTTTTAAATACATTTCGTTAATGACGAGTACTAACTTTATAGTATTGCTATCTATTATATACTATCATATCATCTAAAGAATTATAAAAATGTTAATTTTTTATTTTTTTTCAACATTTTGACTATTTTTTTTTATACTTTCTACCCGACAACTTATCTGATGATGTTAAAGCCTTTCAAGTGTTGGAAGTGGTTATCGTTTGAATGTCTTTGATGTAAATTTTAAGTAATTATTGTTTATAGGCAGTATTTACTTAGAATTTTCTTTTAGGCTTCAGAGGCATATTAACACATATAATAAGTATTCTTATATGAAAAAGAAACTTAGCAAAATTAAAACAAAAAAATTGGTTTTGATGTTG